GTCCGCACCTCTAGCCATTAAACCGTTTATATCTCGGTCTGTACCCTTGAAATATGCTGTGGTCCCTCTTTGCACCCTCAAAATAAATTAATAGTATTTTGGACCCACAAAACACAACATATCATGAATAATGCACCACAAATGATTTTTTTCTAATAAAGGTAATTAAATATTTGTTGTTGTATTTAGAAATTATATTATTTTATCACAAAACAATATTTTACGAAAAAAAATCTTTCAGCTATTCGTTATCAAATTATCTGAAAAAATAATTTTTTTTTTTATTTTGAGGGTACAAAATACTATTATTATTTTTCAAGGGTGCAAAGTGGGATTAAGTCCCATTAAAAAAGTAGTAATTAATACTAGAAAATGATAGGTTAAAAAGGTACTAAACTTTGTCCACAATCACTATCAGTCGACAAGAAGAAAAATATCATTGTATATATACCACTAATATCAAGCATATGATCATTGTGCTATATATAATAAATATGTAGTTCAAGTATGATTAAGAAAGAGTAGTTAGGGACGTAATGGTAATTAGCCATCAATCAATTCATCATCAACCCACTTTTTATTGTTGTAATCAACCCGCTAATCCATTATAGTTGGGTTGATAATTTGGTTTTTAATATCTTTGATAAGTCGGATGACCGATACTTATCCGACCAACCGATTATTTTTAAAGTTTTAATAAAATCCTTGTTGTTTGAGATTGTATATAAGGACCGTTTCTATGAAAATAAGGTTGAGCGTCAAAATTAGATAAACAGAAGATATGTTTTTAAAAAAATTACTACTAATCTGCGAGTAGATGTAGAAAAGTCAAGTAAACGTGACACTGAAAAGTAAAAAAATAAATACAAGTTATTTATATGCTTCATCTGGTGAATGTTACTGTGAATTTTTACCATTGATCTAGACCCACCAATGTATGTTTGTTTATATGAATGGTAAATATCTACCTATTGTATTTCACCAGGTATAACATAGTATAAATCGTAAATATATTTGTAACTCATGTATAACTCAAGAGTTATTTATCATTTCCTCAATATTATCATTTGATGAAGTAAATTTGCATGTGCCAAGAATTCATATTACTTGATTGTAACTTAGGTGTTGTTTGCACAAATTTTTAGAAACAGATTATGCGCCAAACTTTTGGCTCATATAATTCTGAGCATTAAAAATACAACTTTTGCTTTTTTTTTTTCACTTAAAATAAGTTGTTTTAAACTATAATTATAAAAGCATAAGCAACTGTTGACTGTTGTGCTTACTTAAAGCTTCACTGGCCATTTTGTGTCGAGTATTTATATCTAAATCCAATCTTTAAGGACATTTGAGATAATAATGTACTAAAATAAACAATTATTTCAAGCCTATAACTTCATAGATCTTTAGTACAGTATATAGATCTTTCTATAACATAAATAAGCAATTATTTCAAGTTCTTATCCATAATTTAAACTATTGCATGCAAACACCACCTTCTTAATATTGTCACTATATAAATTTTCGTAGGCTTCAATATAAAATATTGTATGTTTTTTTAAATATAATTGAATAAATAGTCGTCTGATCAAAATAATTCTTTTTATCTATCTCTTGACAACTTTTACACGTCGTTGTCTTCTCTAACAAGTATTGATCTTTGTCTCCCGACTACTTAATTTGACTCACTGCTGCAATTCTCAGTATATACATGCATACTGGGGCGAGTCCACCCAAGGGCTAGGGTGGACTCAAGCCCCCCCTCACTTCCCAAATTTTTACTATTATATATATATATATATATATATATATATATATATATATATATATATATATATATATATATACTACTACATTTTTTAGTCAATTCAATTATATTATGGGTAAATTACAAACACCCCCTGATGTATGGTCAAATTACTAAAACACCCCTCTTGTGTGGATAGTTACAACCAACCCCTCAACTCCTCAAATTGAGTGGACTCTTCGAGATTATATGGAATATTATCACTTGTGTACTCGTTTAATCCCATTCGAACTCTACATTTT